AAAGAAAGAAAGAAAGAAAGAAAGAAAGAAAGAAAGAAAGAAAGAAAGAAAGAAAGAAAGAAAGAAAGAAAGAAAGAATTGTTAGAATGGATTGGGAAGACACAGGTGTTGAACCCCCTTGAATGGCTTTAAGCCAGTTGCTATCTCAAGCCAAATCTTATAGGGTTGCTATGGAAATAAAATTAGGGATTCCTTGTACCAATAAATTTGAAGTGCCAGAAGAAAACGGGATACAAATGCAATTAATACAATTATTACATCTAAAATACAACCTGATAATTTGCGACAGAAATTTTTCTCTACCTGATAATCCACATTACCCACAAAGTAATTTGAATTATCCACATATATTTCCACACTCTTATCATTTTCAACAGAATATGAACAGCCAATATATAATGTTTAAATATTATCTGTTGTTCTCAAATTTGAGCTAAAAATATATTCATGCTATCCAATTTGCACATGCTTGAAAGAACTTTAGCCAAGAAAGAGGTAAAACATATTATTATTATTAGAGATTGTTCACAATGCTATATTTACTCAAAATATCACCAAATATAAGCTGAATCCACTCCCATCAAAATAGAAGACTGGACAGAGACAACTTTCCTGCCTCCTTTACTTTGTTCTTGGCAATTCTAACCTGAAGCTCCTATTTTAAATGCATTTTTTTAAAAAAAAGACTACTCTCTTTTAAATACATAGTGCTAGATAGCAAATTATATTTCAATGGTCCAATAGTAACAAATGGAATTGCCAATAACCTTATGGTGAAAATGTAAATACATCAGTGATTCTATAATGAATATGATCTTTTGTCTATTTCCCATTAATTATTCAAATCAGAGGTAGAAATACAAAGCAGCTTAGGTTCTGCATACCACAGTGAATGGAGTAGCCAACCATAGAACTTAGCACTTAGATTTATATACAGCTTCACAGTGCTTTACAGCCCACTCTAGGTGGTTTAAAGAGTCAACATATTGTCCCCAACTATCTGGGTCCTCCTTTTACCCACATTGGAAGGATGGAAGTCAACCTTGAGTCTTGGTAAGATTAGTAGCCTGCAGTCCTGCACTCTAACCACTGCGCCATCGAGACACAGTGGTTAGAATACACATCATCTCAACCAGAGATTTGCCATGGTGATGACAGGAACAACCTGAACTAATAATGGAAGAATCTGAACCTAACAGTGGACTGAGCTGAGAGTTTTGAAGCATCAGAAGAGTCAGCACTGACAAAAAGAAAACCCACCCAGGAATGAATCACCTGCTCACAAGTGAGACCTCCAGGTACCTTTTTAAAAATCATGCCAACTTATAGGACTAGGAAATATTCATTTTTCTGTGTGGTTGCCACATTTTCTGGAAGAACTCACATCTGACATATGACAATCACCAAATCTATTCACCTTTAGGAAAGCCATTAAATTGATCTATTCCATATGTCTTTAATTAAATAATGCCATCTATCTGGACCTAGTATGTATGTTAGGTCTTAGAATAGGACTGTCAAACTTGTGGCCTGTGGGCCAGATGTGTCACACCTGGTTTAGCAAAGGGGGAAAGAGTCCCAATATGTCACATGATACCACTGTGACGATGTGAGTTTGACATCCCTGACTTATAAAGTAGCATCTACTCTCTGGAAAAGTATCCCCCAGAGTTCTCTATGGTCCCATCCTAAAGATACTCACAAAATTATTGAAAACTGGCTATTCTCCTAGGCATTGGGACAAGGATGTGTACTGTGGCCTTTTAGAGTTTTTTTTCTTAAGTAATATCTTCTAGAGGCACATGATATATGTTTCTATTGTTAGCGCTTTCCTACTTTGGAGTACTTTTTAACTTGTAAAGTGCCCACAATCCCATGGAGTCAGATGGCTTCTGAATAGAAATAAGATAAAATATAAAATCTAGATGACTGTAATTAATAAGAAAGTGAGGATACTGAAATGCTAGGCAAGTAGTGATAGAGTTTGCAAATCTGATTTTTGATTGTCATCATCTTCACATTGTAACAGACCAGTGTTTGAGTAGAAGGCTAAACTTCCAATTGGTCAATGAGTCTGATTTCCAGGTGACTATAAATCCAAGTTCCATTTTGAACTGTCTATGGTTTTTACCATTCACAGACTAACAAAGAGCATATTTGAAAGAAATTCTTATGTAGCAAATAAAAAAAACATTAAAACATTTAACACAACCCTCTAATGTATTATGCATAGTTCATTCTTGTATATCTTAAAAGAACAGCTTGTTATTGAAGAAGTATTTTTATTGCTGATCTTTCTGCCTTTTTGTTTTTTAAATTAAATAGAGAATTGATGCTGATCTTTTTTTTTCTACCAGTGTTAATTTGACTAATAAAATATATTAGAAGACAAAACAAATGAAAGTGTATGAATGGTGATTATTAAAAGAATGAATATCAAAAACAACCCAGCTGGAAACACAGGCAGTAATCCTAATGGACCATTTGTAATACATTTTCACAAATGTACACACTGTATTTTATGCATATTTTCAAGTGTCCAGGCATTAGCCATCCAGGTCAACTTTATTATAAAAGTGTGTGAAGAATGCAAAGTAAGTACCAATAAATTGATGAATGTTAATGATACTTAGAGTAGTAGCATGAGAAAAATTTGGAATTTATTGTAGAAAAAGCTGTTATCATGTAGCCTTTGGAACAGGTTTTCCTGAAAACTGAAAGCTGCAGCCATCTGCAAACCCAGAATTGCATTTTCAATTATTGAAAATGTCTATGCTGGGATTCAGTAAGGAACACCTTGACCATAAACTAGGAGTCCAAATTTTTTATCGCTTCACTATTTACTATGCGGTATTGAACAAATCATTGTTCTGCTTCCATTTTGCACCTGTAAGGTAGACATGCTTGTAATCAAATCCACTACTAAAGAAGAAAACTTTTTATTTTTTTTCCTTTTTGAAGAATTATTTGCATATTGCTTCCGTGAAACAATACTCCAATCATTAAAGACAAATGTATGGAAGCTTGGATTTGAAAAATTTCAGGCTTCTTTTGTAACACAATTATGGAAAAAATATAGTTGCCCACTTTTGTAATCCAAACTCTTTGGCATCATGCTGGATTTATGGATATTCTTGTTAAGCAGTATTAAAGGCTAATGCTGCCTATTACATTTTGTAAGCCACTATTCAGCTACCATACAGCAGAAAGTTATTACCTTAACCTTTCCTGAAACCAAGCTGATGTTTTAAAGAATTTTCATGAAGAATTTCAGGTCCAGACTCTGAGTGCCATATATAATATACAATATGTAACATACATATAGAATATAGAATATATAATATACAATGATCTAATACATATTGATTTACAGAAGACAATGATGAAAAAGCACTATGCAATCTAAAACCATCTCTATCTATTGGACTGGACAGAATATGTGCCTACTTCTTAAAAAAGCTACCCACTGCCATAGCTGAACCCTCTAAGCATAATCTTTAAAAAAATCTTTCAGGACCAGCTCCTTGCCAAGACTATGGTCACAAGCCACGGTCATCCCCATCTTCAAAAAGGGAGACCCAAGCCTAGTTGAAAATTACAGACCAATCTCTTTATGCTGCATCACCTGTAAAGTCATGGAATCAATTAGTAACCAATCCATCATTCTCCACTTAGAAACAAACAACCTACTCTCTAATAAACAATTTGGTTTCAGGAAAAAACTATCCTGTAATCTGCAACTTTTACACTGCAAAAACATATGGATTACACAACTCGATCAGGGCAAACCAATAGACACAATCTACATAGACTTCTGTAAAGCCTTTGATTCAGTGGTACACGACAAACTACTCCTAAAACTAAAATCTTACAGTAACTCTGGACACCTGCATAACTGGATAGAAGCATTCCTGTCAAAAAGACAACAAATGGTCAAAATTGGGAGCGTCCTATCAAATTCTGTACCTGTCAACAGTGGTGTCCCCCAAGGCAGTATTCTAGGACCAACTCTTTTCATACTCTACATAAATGACCTCTGTGATCATATCAAAAGCAACTGCGTTCTCTTCGCTGATGACGTAAAGCTATTCAATACCACAGACAATACTGCTACCCTTCAAAAAGACCTTGACTATATATCAGAATGGTCAAACAAACGGCAACTTCAAATCTCAACAAATAAATGCTCTGTCTAACATATTGGCAAAAAAAATCAGAAAATAAAATACAGGCTTGTTGATGATCCAAACTTGGTCAAGGATCTTGGCGTACTCATCTCAAATGACCTAAGTGCTAGAGCCCACTGTAACTACATAGCCAAAAAGGCATTAAGAGTTGTTAACCTACATAGCTTTTTCTCTGGTAATATCACACTACTAACTAGAGGATACAAAACATTTTCTAGACCAATACTCGAATACAGCTCATCAGTCTGGAACCCACATTACGTATCTGATATTAAGACAGTTGAGAAAGTCCAGAAATATTTCACAAGAAGAGTTCTCCATTCCTCTACTCGTTGCAGGATATCTTATGCCACCAGACTCAAAATTCTAAACCTAGAAAACCTAGAACTACGCTGCCTTCGGTCCGATCTAAGTATAGAAATTTGAATTTCATTAGATTCTATTTTGTTCCTTGACTTTTCTTCTCACATATCAAATTCTTTCTTTATTTCATAAACAAAGACCCACCTATGTGCATTATAGTTTAGGTACATATTTATTATGGGTTTTGTGTACTATCAATGCTGAGTAGAGATTTGTAGTTAATTTTACATGTTAGAATACAGCGGGTGACTTCCGGTTGCAGCACTGTGGCGGGGTGGGGAGAGAGGAGCAAGCTCTGCTCTCTCATCCCCAATCTGCATGTTTGGAGGCTCCGGTGAGGGGCATGTAGACCCTGGAGGGGAAGACGAAGGTGTGAGGAAGCCCGAGGAAAAGTTTGACAGTGGTGGCTGTTGACAGCTTCGAGGGAGACCTCATTTGCTCGGATGTGTGAGTGATCAGCCATCTCGATGGCAGACCAAAGTCACATCGCTTTAGCCCAATGAGGAAGATACCAGAGCATGAACAGCGTTTTTGGCATCAATTGACGGATTGAACTTGGAGTGAAGGAGACAGAAAGTGAAAGTTGAGGAGAGAAACGGCAGAGAGAGACGGCAGAACTGTGAGTCTTAAATAAGAGGACGGAAGTCTGAAGGGAAACGGCGATCCGGCGGTGAAAGCAAGGAACTCTTAAGAAAGAGATCAAAGCTGATTTAATTGATTAAAGATTGACTGGTGTCTTGGACTTGTTTTGAAAAATTTGGAGTTGATTTAGACTGATTAACTAGGAATTTGGAGTTTAACCTGATGGATCTGTGATTTGTAAAAGAAGAACAGTGGAAAAAACAGTAAGAGACAGGACTAAACTGAAGAATGGAAGTGACATTTTGAGATTATACAGAGAGAAGAGAAGCTGATGTAACAGACTGTGACTAAACAAAACGTGAACGGACAAGGAAAGGAAAGTGATTGAATATTACTGGACTTCTTTTCATAGAATATAATTAATGAAATAACATTTTGATTAAGGTTTGATTGAATTTATTAAGAATTTAAAAGTTTAAATGATATGAAACTGTGAAAACTGGTGAAATACTATTTTGATGATTATCAATTGATTGATTATTAACAACTAATGAAATAAGTAAGGTCAAAATATAAGAAGTGGAATATAGAATTGTTTAAAGGAAACCAAACTTTACAGTTAAAGATAAAGAATACAGTTGATATACCATAATATAGTAATATAAAATAGTTGTATAAGAACAATTTACAGCAAGTATATTTTAGGATATTATATTATACTCTTTCTCTCTTTTCTCTCTCATTTTGATATTATCCTTCCTGTCATCCCTTTAGCTCTCTCCTTTATCTTCTTTAATTTTGGTGATTCAGTTAGTTTCAGATTCTATAAAAGATTGAATCAAATCTGAATAATTTAGAATATCATAAGTGGGAAAAGATATTTATATTCTAAGGAAAACTACTGAATAGAACTAATAACAAAAGAAAAATTAAATAGTGAATGGTAAAGTGGGAAGATATCTACAATAAAGTTAGGAATATGACCAGTACTACAACAGCGAACCTGAAAGGGAAAAAACCAATGTCTGGTTCATCAATGTCTACTGCATCTCCAGCAGGCCAAAAAACAATAGAAGGAATGTTAAATATGGAAAAGATGAACAACGCAGCCCACAGACAGACAATGCAAGCAACATTAACAGCTATTCAGGAAACGATGCTTAAAATGCAGGAGACAATAGTTAATATCCATACAGATATGAAGATGGAAATGGGAGAAATGAAGGGTAAGATTCAAAATTGAAAGGAGAATATGGGAACGATCCAACAGACACTGGAGAAGAATGAATGAAGAATAAAGAATATAGAAACTAAAGCTGAACAAACAGATAAGAGATTGGAAGGGATGGATAGGAAAGTAATAGAGATGAACAGAGACTTAGAATATTCGATTATCCATCTCAAAATGGAACGTGCAGCATTCTATTTGAGGTTCCAAAATGTATTGGAATCCAAAGACGAAGACCTGGGAGACACAATGTCCCACTTAATAGCAGAGGCATTGCAAAGGGACCAGCAGGAAATAGTGATAGAATTAGATGAGGTCTACCAAATCCATACAAACTACACCAGACGAAACAAGCTGCCTAGAGAGGTCCACATCAGGTTCGTCAGAAAAAATGTAAGAGATATTATATATAGAATCACCAAGGATGAGCTGATGGTGTATAAAGAAAAAGAGATCATGACCTTGAAACAAATTCCGAGGCAGGTAAGAGAGTTGAGGAAGGACTACAGATCTCTGGCAATACTCCTGAATAAATGAAACATCTGGTTCCGATGGCTGGTCCCTGAAGGAATGCTGGTGACGTGGCAAGAAAGAAGACTAAAAATTGATAGTATTGAAAAGGCGCAAGAACTTTACTATCAGTTGATGGAAACAGAGGAAGAGGGGAGCAGTAAAGAAGAGTCAGAAAGCAAGAGTCAGGAGGACCAACAAGAAGATCAGCAACAGGGAATACAGGAAATGGACCAAGAAGAGAGAGGCAAAGGAAAGAGAGAATACCCAAGGAGAGAAGGACTAAGAACAATACCCCAAAGAGAAGCAAGAACAAACAGAAGATTTAGGTCGACTCAGAATCAACAATGGAAGAAGAGATTAAATTACTCTCAATAAACATCAATAGATTAAACTCCCAGATCAAGAGGAAACAAATATTAACCAAATTAACTAAACAAAACATTGATTTTATATGCCTACAGGAGGTACATATCCAAAAACAGCATAAAAAATATCTAGAATATCCCAAGTTGGGTGTATTATTTAAAGCATTGGCAGATCAAAAGAAAAGGGGGGGGTAGCAATTTACGTAAAAAAGGGGATAAATGCAAAAAAAAATCTATGCAGATGAACAAGGCAGAATTTTAATGATACAAATTAATTTACATCAAAAACAATTACTATTAGTGGGGATATATGCCCCTAATGATAACCAGAAGAAGTTTTACAAGGGACTGTATGATAAAATAATTAGTGTAGGTGAAGAAAATATTTGCTTGACAGGGGACTTTAAGGCCATTGTTGATGTTAAAAAAAGACTATGTTAGTATGGAAGGGACTAGGAAGAAAAAAATAAGAGAATTTTACCAAAAGTTTTTTTTTGATTTAACACATGAGACCAATTTGAAAGATATATGGAGGAAGAGGAATCCAAATGAGAAGAAATAAACATTTTATTCTAGTCCACAAAAATCATGGTCCAGAATCGATATGATATGGGTTAATGGGGCAATCAAGAAAGACATTAGTGAAATAGAGATAATGCCTAATATATGGGCTGACCATAGCCCGGTTAAAATTACATGGAAAGGACGTAGTAAATGGAAAAGGAGATGAATATTAAATTCACAAATAACAAAGGAAAAAGAATATATCTCAAGAATAAAAAATGAGTTAGAAACATTCTTTAAGGTTAATCTAAAACAACATACTAGTTTACAAAATTTATGGGACACTACAAAGGCCTTCATGAGAGGGATATCAATAGCCTATATAGCTAAGAAAAATAAAGAAAATGGAAGAAACTGAATGAATTACAAGAAAGGATTAAAAAATTTGAATATGAGCTCCCAAAAGACCCAAAGAATATGGAAGTTAAGAAAGAAATAGGGATGATTAGACATGAACTAAATTCAATAGATATTGAGGAAAATGCATGTAACTTAAAAACTCTTAAACATAATTTATTTGAATCAGCAAATAAACCAAGAAGGTGGTTGTCCCATAAATTAAAAATAGAGAAAGAGAAAAGACTAATTCAGCAACTCAAGGATGAGGAAGGGACAGTGTATTATCAGATGAAGGAGAAAAAGAGAATTGCGCAAAGATATTTTGGCGAGCTTTATAAGCAAGAAGATGTTAGGGAAGAAAACATTAGATACTACTTGGAGGGAAACGGTCTGAGCCCAATCTCAGAAGAAAATAGAGAAATATTTAATAAAGAAATAACATTAACAGAGTTACAAAAGGCAATACAAAAACAAAAAAATAACAAAACACCAGGCCCGGATGGTCTACCAGGCGAACTATATAAAAATTTATCTGAAATATTTGAACCAATATTACTGGAACTATATAATGAGGCATTAACGCAAGCTAGACTTCCGAGGTCCTGGTCCGAGGCATACATCTCCTCAATTGCAAAAGATGGCACTGATCAACAACTAATTGCAAACTATAGGCCAATCTCATTGCTAAATATGGATTATAAGATATTTATGACAATATTAGCTGAAAGAATGAAACCAATTTTGAGTGAACTTATACATATAGACCAGAATGGTTTCCTGTCAAATAGACAAATTAAAAACAATATTAGGACAGTACTAAATTCAATTGAATACTATGAAGCTCACCCAGAAAAACAGGGAGCTTTAATTTTTTAAAATGCACAAAAAGCATTCGATAATCTCAACTGGAAATTCATGCTATATCAAATTAAAAAGCTGAACTTTGGCACTAATATAGAAAAAACACTACAAGAAATATACTCAAATCAAAAAGCAAGTGTATTATTAAATGGAGATCATACTGAAGATTTTGAAATTGCAAAAGGAGTGAGACAAGGGTGTCCATTATCGCCTCTGTTATTTATCTTGTCTTTAGAAGTGTTGCTAGCTGCAACCAGACAAAACCCAGAGACTTATGGAATTAAGATTAAAAATGAGGAATATAAAGTTCAGGCATTTGCTGATGATTTGGTATTTATAGTGGAAGAGCCAATGAATTCGGGACCAATATTGTTGCAACAAATAGAAAAGTTTGGGGAAGCAGCAGGATTTAAAATAAATAAAAATAAAACTAAGATGATAGTCAAAAACTGTACAACAAAACAGAACGTAGAATTAGACTGCAAATAGTAAAAAAGGAACTGCAAATAGTAAAAAAGGTGAAATACCTGGGAATTTGGATATCACACAGATGTTCATCATTAAAAGAGGGCAATTATGTTAAACTGATTAAGCAAATCAGAAAAAAATTGGAATTATGGGCCAAATTGAAACTGTCTATATTAGGAAAAATAGCAACGTTGAAAATGAATACCTTACCCAAACTAATATATCTATTCCAAATGATTCCAATTAAATTAGGGAAATATTTTTTTATAGAACTAAATAAAATGACATCCAAGTTTGTCTGGTTGGGCAAGCGGCCACATATTAAAATGAAACTATTACAAGATAATAGGAGCAGAGGTGGTCTCGGACTATCAGAATGGGAGCTTTAACACCAGGCAGCGGTGTTGAGTTGGATTAAGGATTGGATTAAATTAAGAGACAAGAGAATCTTAACATTAGAAGGAGATGACCTCTTGATAGGTTGGCATGCTTTTTTGTGGGAAAATAAAAATAATATACATACCTATTTCAATCAACACCTAATAAGAGACTCATTGATTACAATTTGGAAAAAAAATCAAAGGTAAACACTATACAGAAATCCCACAATGGCTGTCAACCATGGAAGCCATAATACATCCAAATAGATTAGACCTACAGAAAATGGTAAACTATGAAGACATATTAGATAGTCAAGGGAAATTAAAATCAAATCAAGAACTGAAGGAAAATGGAATTATAATCGATTGGTGGCCATATTTGCAAATTTAAAATAAATATAAAAAAGACTCAAAAGATTTTGGATTTGACAAAGGGCAGAACCAACTAGATAAAATATTAATGGGAGCGGAATAAAAACTTATAACTAAAATATATAAATATTTATTAGATTTTAAAATGGAAGAGGAAATAGTCAAAAGTACAATGACTGCATGGGCACAGAATTTTGGATACACTGTAGAATTAGAGGAATGGGGAAAAATTATGAATATAAATTATAAATTAATGGTATCTGCAGCATACAAAGAAAACATATAAAATGTTTTATAGATGGTATTTAGCCCCAACAAGATTGGCAAAAATCTACTCCAATATGAGTCCTAAATGTTGGAAGTGCAAATAAGTTGATGGTACATTTTATCACATGTGGTGGATGTGCCCGGAGGCCAGGACATACCAGATTCAAATTAAAAATTGGTTAAAAGAGATCACTGGCTATCAGATTGAGCTTAGACCGGAATTTTCTCTTGCTCCACCAGCAGATTTACAAATCACTTGTCACTGATATCTGATCTGTGAATCAACAAAAAATACCTTCCTTAATCTTGTCATCACTTATTCTTGGAATCATTTGTCTCAAGTAGCAAAAACCTTCGCCTTCCTTGTTCATCACTTTCATAAAAGTTCTCATCAATACTTATTTCATGTGAAGCAGAGACAAAAACAATTTTGTCAGTTCAGCAGGTGTTTCATGTGCCACATTACTTCAGTCCTGGAACCAAATTCATCTGGAGTGGCTATGTCTTTATAATGCAATCCGATGCTTTTGCATGGCTGTCCCATTTTCACATTTAACAATGCTGCCTTCCAAGTAGCAGAGCCACTAATTTTAGATCTCCAGAGTTATTCCAGTTGTATTTGGTTTACTGGATGTGCTTCAACAACAATTTCATGTTTTGGTATGTTTCTTTCATCTGTGCAGTACAGACAATAGAAATACAGAAAGCCATTATATAAAACAGAAAAGTTCTGTAAGATCATACATGATAAGTTAAATTTAGGAAAAATAATAAAAATAAAATTCAATATTTAAATAAAAGCAGATTAGCAAACAAAATCTATAAGATACACCCAATAGTGTTAGGAAGCAAAATCTTTGTTGTCTACTGGCATCTGTAGTTTTAGGCCTCTCTTTCCTGGGCTGAAAAAATGAGCATGACTGTTAAATGATAACAAAGTGATATAGAAGGCAAACTCTCTGTTGCAAAGTAGCGGTTATACAGATGTTTGCAGCCCAGATAAATAAAACCTACTGCTTTATGGATTTATACCTGGATTTTTTTTAGGATAAGATGAAATATATTACCACTTTGTTTCCCCACAGCCAATATCTTATATAATGTGATATTAGCAGAAAGAACAAGCTTGATAGGTAACACTTCCTGTATACAGGATATGATGGGCAGGCAGCTCAGACTCTCGATCTACTAATAACTGTACTCTCTTTCTGTGAGGTTAAAAATGGTAGAAGAGACCTTGAACAAACTTCCAGAAAATATGTGAAGCCCTAGACAGGAAGCAAGAAAAGAATCATAGCAGAAGAAGAGAAGAGAGGATGCTGGAAGTGAATGATTGCTTCATCAAATAGGGCTAAGGTTTCTTTGATCACATTTTCTGAATGAAGATCTCCCAGCACAGGGGTGTCAAATTCATGTCGTCATGGCGGTGTCACATGATGTATCAGGACCCCCCCCCTTTGCTAAACCAGGCATGGACATGGCCAGCACGTGCTGCATCCGGCCCGTAGGCTGGGAGTTTGACAGCCCTGTCCTAGCAAGAGATGGGTTGCCTCTTTTTTCTTTCTCCCAAATTCTACAAAGTGGGTGTAATGATTATCCATTAAGCCTTGTGCCAGTTTATAGTAGAAGCCTTCACAAACTTGCCATGAAAACATGAAAATAGCAATTTCTCTGTTTGGTATTGACTTCCTCAGAGAGAGATCAGCTACATCCAGGTTCATTAAGGAAACTTTGCATCCTTTTGATGACCTCTGTTGAAGTATAATTCAAGCACAATAATCCTCACAGTATAAGAAATCAGAGAGTCCCCACAAATACATCAATAGCATGATTTCTTTATTGCTGAAAAACCCTTATGTACCTTGAAGGACAGAACTTTGAAATAATAAGAGATCAGGTTCTATGGTATCTAGTGCATAGTAATTAAACACTAATTAAAACCATTTCACTAAGTACTGACATATAGCATATTTGCATAATCACCCAGTCATTGCTCTATGAGCAGCTAATGGGGAATGATCCAAGAGTTAGTGGCAATTGCTGTTGGACAGCATTTGGCACATAAAAAAATGTAATCCCCATGTTAGAAAGAGAAATAAGGCCCTGAAATTCTCATTGTGGACTTAACAGCATGTGACCGAATGGATCTGTCAAGCAAAATTTTAAAAAAAATCCCCACTGCCTCCATTACTTTCTTCTGGTGAGCTTTCTGTAGTTTCTTTCCTCTGGGCTGTCATTTCTGAGTGATTCATGATGACACAACATCATACAGGTACAGTACTATATAAACATTATTTATTACTACTGCAGCTTTTTGCACAGGAGATGTATGACAGTAGCATAGATACAGGATCTGCTTCATTTACTTCTGGGCATAGGCTGTGTTTAGAAGAGCAGACTTTATGCTTCTGTGTGTGATTTATATTTAACTCAAATAAAATCAATGGGATACCTATCAAACGGAATACAAGATTTGTAAGGTTTCTTATTAGCAGCAGTAAATGACCCTACAAAACTGTAATTCTGGGTGCAATGTTATTGCAGAGACTGAAGCACAAATCCACTCATTTGAAAAATAGTAAATGTTATTTTTGAATCAAACAGAGGCACTTATGATGATGATTAGAAGCCCTGCAGTGTGCAAATAATTGTAATGTTTTATACCAGTTGTCCTTAGGAGTACAGTGGGAGGATAACTGGCAAGAAAAGTAGGAGTCATTGGAATAAACTTAACAATTTCTAAACCATAGCTGTGTGTGTGTGTGTGTGTGTGTGTGTGTGTGTGTATTTTCAGCTTCTTTTCTATCTTTATTGCAATATTCAAGACTTTTCAGAGTACTCCAATTTTGTCTAAAACAAATTATTTCAGGCAAACTCAGATCTCCACTCAGATAGACTAAATTAATCAGAAGCCTAAACTTAAATACCATTCAAATTTGCCAGGAAAATTCCTCACTTTAGCTAGATCTCAGTTCTAAACACTGTTTTCTTATTTGTCTTTTGAATTGATAACACTGTGTTTTTCCTTCATTTTATTTGCGTTTCATTCTTAGGTATGTTGACTGTAACTAATAATCTCCCAAATGAGAATAATTAAAATATCTGGCATATCCGCTATTGCTCAAATAGCAATAGCAATAGAAGTTTCCATGTATATTAATAAGCAATAGCACTTATATATTAGCCCATAGTGCTTTGCAGCAGTCTCAGGGCAGTTTATAGAGGCAGAATATTGCCCCAACAATCTGAGTCCTCATTTTTACTGACTTTGGAAGGGTTGAAGGCTGAGTCAATCTTGAGCCAATCAGGATCGAACTGCTCGCTATAGGCATTGTTTGCTTGCAATACTGCTTTCTAACCACTGCAACATCATGGCTCCTGTACAATATTCATTGTATTATAATAATTCTGTATTTGCATATAACTCTTATAGCAGAAGAAACTTCAGTATGTGTAGCAGTTCAGTTTTACTTAATAGGTATATTTTGGGTATGTGAAGAAGCTGTGGCTTCAATGTGTTTTCCATTTCTCCCTCCCCCCAAAGTTAAAATAGCATATCAAATAGCAAAAAATACCAAAATAGTTCCCATATCTCCAGTTGCCTCAAATATCATTTTAAGGCAGTATGTACCTCTTCCTGTGAAATCACCATGCAATTGGATATACAATCAATATGCCTTAGTCAATATGTATTAGGAGACTATCTGAAATTTGATAATCTGGTAACACTATAAAATCTCAGAAAGAACCAACAGACTCTTACAATCGTGTGGCATCACTATAGTACACCAACCAACTAAAGCCCTCCAAATGAAAAAAAAAAAGCAGGGGTTATTTCAATATACAATGTAAGGACTGTAACAATCTCCATATAGAACAGACAAGTAGAAGAATAGTGTAGCTCACCGACAAACACCAACTAGCTGTCAGAAGACATGACAAAAATACCCTGATCTAACAACACATAGACAGACTCAACCATAGTTTCAATTGGGAAACTATTAGCACCTTAGACAAAACCACATCGAAAAATGTTAGAGAATTCCAGGAGACTTGGCATTTGGACAAATCAGGAATCAATGGGCTCATAAAAGTAAACATCATTTGCATACCTTTCTGAAGATACAATAAAAGATCTAGAAAGGAACCCAAAAGATTAAAATACATCCTATCCAGCAGCCCACGTTCATTTATCCGTTTAATAGTCACCAAATCCATATCTTCCATTTATTTTGGATCTATGACAATCAGTGCAGCTTGTTTTATGTTGTTCTACATCTTCCAAAATATCCAATTTTTTTCTAATATTATATTTCGACTATCTTTTGAGTAAAGATAGTTCTTCATTAATAAAGACCCATAAAACTATTTTCATCCCAGCTGGTAAATGCCATTTTCTTTCCTCATCCTTTCAATTTATATATCAAATTATTCAAAATTTGTGTTAAAAGTAGTCTTCCATTGCATACAATATGGTGTGGCTATGCTAATCAAACCATTAGCTGCTTTATAAAGTGAATTGTTATTATCTCTTGCTGTTTTCTATATGTGTATTTAAATTAATCTAATCAATTTATGGAAATTTAATAGTTAACTGAGCTAATTATCTGATGTTACTTGTAAATATTAATTCTACTTCTGAGTTAGTATAAGCTCATTCTTTCCAAATTCCCAACAACTAGTAAATCTGTTGTGAATGAGCAGTACTTCAGTTCACTCTTTTAAACTTAGAATCATGATGTACTATACAAACGTCAGCAACTTTAAGATGCATGGATTTCAGTTCTCAAAACTCCCCCATGAATGCTGGCTGGGGAATTCTGGGAGTTGGAGTCCATGCTTCTTAAAGTTGCTGAGGTTGAGAAATATGGTACTATATTTTATTTTGTTGGATATATCATCCCTGTTCACCGAATTGTTTCCTTTCACAGTGAAAAATAGAAGAAGAATCTGCTGAAGTTATATTTCCATCTTTATTCTGTTGTCAATTTGTATATGAAAGAGTGAAAGCTGGGAAAACCAAAAGCCACTTATTTCGCTAATTACTCTCAAAGCTTGTCCCCAGTGGTTCTGGAGAGTCATGTCCTGTTTGAAAAATATACAATATAAACTTTTATCTGCTGTATGTTTATCTTGCTCTCTCTCTTTTTCCTGCCTTTTGTCCTTTTTCTGCCACTTAACTGTTTTTAATATTTGCTGATCTTAATGAACATGAAATTGTAATTTTGCTAGTTGTGTTGAGCAGCCTATGTATTTGCACTGATCTAGATATAAGCACTGTGTGAGAGAGTTCTAGATGGGAATTAAACTGAAAATTATCCACAGTAATTTTCCAACATATTTAACCCTCTTGTAAAGACACGATCTCAGAAGATGTTCAAACTGTGCAAGTCAGGTACATTTTGCTATCACTGTTAAATTCATTTTAAGCCAATTACATACATTAGACACATTTCTTAGATAATTCAAGAAAGGTCCTTTTTAGTGATAAGGTTAGCTGCTGTTTTAAAATTCTTTGGAATATCTGTCTGTATTTATGTTAAAGTTGCTTCCTGCTGTTTTAAAAATCAATCTTTTAGTACAAACCATTGTGGTAAATAAAGAAAAAAAAAGGGGAATGGTTTCACTCTGAGGCATGGCTATTTTTCTGAAGACCTGTTTTGCACATAAATGTGGAAGAAGGAGAAACCATTGCTCAAGAAAGAATTTGTAAAACACAAGTATCCTACAAAAAAGCCCTGTGTGGATTTTAACACAGCAGCATGCTAGCTTCTGTGTCTCCTACATTTAATATGTACTGTTTGCAATTCCATGTCAGTTATTTAGACAAGGTGTTTCTTTTACCCCGTGAAATTTGTCACAGATTGGAGAACCAGCATAAACAGATTTGTGATTTATAACCCCCCTTGCTATCAGGATGTGCTTGGGTCTCTAAGGATCAGCAAGCTATAACATATTCAAACTCTGTCTAGGTTGCTCCTGTCTATGCTGGAAAATCAAACTGTTCTGGAATATTTGCTTCACTCTGTTATTTGACGTAAGCATTTTCAATTTGCTTCTTCCAGCGACTTTAATTGAGTAGTTTCACTGAAATCCTCCACATGCTGAATGCCCTTCAATGGGATTAAAGTATATGGAACTTTGCTCTGGATTACAACCATAATTAATCACCAGTGTAAGTATTAGTTACATAGATGGAACTGATGTTCTGAGGAGCTGTAGTAAAACTCACACAGACAGGAAACATGTTGTTCCAGTTTCTGTATCAGTGCTTTCAGGTATACATTTTATGTCAGCTATATTAACATTCTACATTATTAAAATGCCATTTTGTTTTGGAGTGTGAATTAGTACTTTTTCAGAACAAAGCCTATGGAAACAGATTAATTAATGATATATTCATACGCCAATTTCCCCTCATCTACCCACCCTCTCTCTCTCTCATACATCCACATATATACACACATAAACAAGGTAACATTTTAGCACTAAACAAAAGTATAGACGAATGCTTATTCATAGAAAATTCAACTGAATTCAGTAGGAACTACTTCCAAAAAATAGATTAAAAATTCATGTTTTCTGTTTAATGTGCCACTTCAACCACTAAAAATCTCTCATATTTTGTCATGCGCTGGTTTATGCATGCAGATTATAAGAGAATAATCAGCTAACCTAGCATGCAGCTTAAGAGAGAAAATGGATGTTGTGCTGAGTCACACTAAAGTATGTATTGGTTTGCATTAACATAGTCAGATCAGATTTTCTGATTCATGGCTTAGTATTTTGTCTTGTTGGAAGTTAAAACCCACCCCTCTCCTAAAATAATGAAATATTTTAGGATATACTGAAAAGGCAGAATATTTTCCCTCAAAGAGAAGTAGAAACTCAGAGAGTCAGAAACTCACCCCTCCCTTTGTTAATGGGCCATTAAGGCCTGGGCAGTCTATTCTACATAACAAAGATCTACCCCCTTCAGGTAGAGCCATAATAGGAATATCCCAAAGCTGTTTCATTGCACCATCACCCAGCAAAACTCAACCAAGCCTGGGACTCAAAAGACAACTTACAAAGTTACCCCTGCATGGCCCCATGGGAATCTGACAACCAGTCAGAACACAAGCTCAAATTCAAAGCCCAACAGAGGGCATAAAATCCAGGCATTCAGCATCTCTTCCCATTTTTCTTTGCTCAGGAGCTCCAAGGCATGTGATCCTGTCCACCATTAAACCATCTTCCCAAACAGCCTCCATGTTTCCAGTGTCTTTTTCCCCACTTGAACTCAGAAGGATATTTCTGATATCCACTGATGTGGTTTATTCAGTAAATCAATATTAAATCATGGCTTGGTTTTGTATATGAGAATTATAGTGAGTCTATTATATGTACAAAGGTGAAAAGATTTTATTTTACCCATAATGAAGGCCTGGATGGCAAAGATGATGGAATTTGTTGAGATGGCCAAACTGACAATTTTAATTGGAGATAGAACATTGCCTAAGTTTAATGCCGATAGGAAACCCCTTGTTTATTTTTTGTATGAAACAGGAAAAAATGAAATTATATGGTTCTGATTGGAAAAATATAGAAAGCAAATGTAAACAAAGTTATAACCATATAGTAAGAGGTTAGTCTCCATTTACACTTGTAACTGTTGTAAAAAAATAATAATTGGAAGTAATTTCTTTATGTTCTTTTTTCTTTTTTTTCCATTCTAAATATTTATCCTTGTTAGCTGTTATCTTTCACTTTAAAATTCATTGATTTTAAAATATCAATATAAAAATTATATTTAAAAAATTGTTTGGAACAAAGTTTGCCCTAATTTTGTAGCATCGGGTGTGACATTCCTGTTTCCTTGATTCATGCCACTTTCTCTTGAGGAATCTAATTGAACACATCTGTTCCACTCAATCTTTATGTAGGTACAAAGACTGAAGATCCTTTTCTGACCAGGCTGCAGGTCAGGTGACTCAGCTAGACAGTATTCTTCTGCAAGGTAGCTAATTACCAGACTGCTTCAGAATTATAGGTTCATGTTCCAAAAAATCCTATTTTTCTACGAAGCATCTGACAATTCCCTGGTTCCTGAGTTGCATGGTCAGAAGTTGTCAGGCCCTCCAATTCAGAATTCTCAGCTCAACCCATAACTTCAGATTCATCATAGGAGCTATGTTTCCATATTTTCAATGAAGTGGCAAGTGCATGATTTATTTTGTTTAGCTCTTGATTTCTCTTCTGATCTTCATTTGCAATTGGGGAAGATACACAATCAAATTAGCATCCTTAAAGTTCATATCTCAGGTCACTTTTGCTGCAGCAGATTCGGCAAACAGCAAGAGTCTATGAGAAGTCTTCTTCCTTAAGAGATGGCCTTTAGTTTGGAAAACAATACCTTTAATGAGATTAACTACTGCTGAAATTCTTCAGCATATTCAAAAGGACTCTATGGAGGATTTGTGTTGAAGGCCTTTTTGCATTTTTAATAT